AGCGAAAAACCGTGCAAAAAAAAAAAACAAGGGCATTTGGGAGCAATCAGCCCTAGGACACAATGGCCGTCGAGACCAGAAGAACTAGATGTTGCCCAGCTACCAATGCCAACCACTCCAGAAAGGATCAAATCTGAAGATGCTGGACAAAGTGGGAGGAAAAATGTGGAACAAAATCAGAAAACTCAATAATGACCAGAATTACTGGTTGGATGGAGTTTGCTGAGTCTACCAATACTATGGCCCTGGAATACATCCTGTACCTGGAATAAAACTCACTCCCAGGGGCTGGCTCTCAGCCCAATAGTTAACAAGATATACATGCAGACCACTCAACCCAGGATGAAGCACCCACATACTCTATGGAAATATATCCTTTGGAGCAATAGACCACGGGGCACCAGAGGGGCAACATTCACACAGAGGTAATGCAGGACAAAGAGGAGTGCATAAGTATGAGGGGCACAGGAGGAAGGTTACTGGGCAGGGAGGGGAGGAAACTGGGTTAAGGTTGGGCGTGGTAAATGCAAAGTGAAACTAAATGTACGCATAACGTTGAATGAAAACAAACTCTTAAAATTAAAAAAAAAAAAAGAAATCAGGAAAAGTGTGGATCAAAGTTGTACCCTTTCACCATATGTATTCAGTCTGCATACTGAGTAAATAATCCAAGAAACTGGATTATATGGAGAGTAATACAGTATCAGGATTGGAGGAAGACTCATTTACAACCTGCGATATCATGATGACACAAATTTGCTTACTGAGAGTGAAGAGGAATTGCAGCACTACTGATGAAGATCAAAGACTACAACCTTCACTATGGATTACAACTCAACATAAAGAAAACAAAAATCCCCACTACTGAAGCAATAAGCAAAATCAAGATAAATAGAGAAAATATTGAAGTTGTCAAGGATATTGTTTTACTTGGATCCATAAGCAGTCATCAAGAAATGAAATGATGCATTGCATTGCAGAAATCTGCAGAGAAAGACCTCTTTAAGTTATTTAAAGAAAAAAAATGTCACTTTGAAGACTAAGGTATATCTGACTCAAGCCATGGCAGTTTTCAGTCGCCTCATATGCATGTGAATGGTGAACAAGGAGTAAGGAAAACCAAAGAAGAACTGATGTGCTTGGATCTTAGATGGCTGCTTGAAAGCTTTTAAGACCCCAGTCACTACTCACCAATGTAGGATGAGGAGACATTTTTATGTATTTTGTTGTGTCAATTGACTCTGGTGTCCCCCAGTACTATGGTCCTGAGAGAGTAGATCTGTTGGATCTCTCTCCCATAGTGTCTGCATGTCTGTGAGGGATTGCTCTGTGTTTGTCTTCTATTGTTTCTGTAAGGATTGCAGGTATTTTGTTTCACTGGTATCTGTGCAAGATTAGCCTGTGCTGACTCTATCCTTGGTCTAGAGTATACTCCTGTATACCGTGTTGGTGAAGAATATACCATGGACTACCAGGAAAATGAACTAATTTGTCTTAAAATGAGTGGTGCAGACTGAAAGCTCCTTAGCTCCTTAGGAGGGAGGATGGTAAGACTTCGTCTGGTCTACTTAGAACTTATTATAAGAAGGGACTAGTCCCTGGAGAAGGATATAAGTCTTTGTACAGTAGAGGGTCAGTAAAAAATAAGATCTTCAAGGAGATGAACTGATACAGATGTTGAAACAATGGAATAAAATATAACAACAATTGTGAAGATAGTGCAAGACCAGGCAGTGTTTTATTCTGGAGTCACTATGTATATGGAGTCACTATGAGTTAGAAATGACTCTATGCCACCTAACAACAACATTTCTCTATGACATTGTTAGAAATAGAAAGTGAGTCCATAGACATGGTTCTGGCCCTGGAATTAGGAAAGAACAACTGCACCTAATTCTACATCAGACATCTTTTTCATTATTTGTAAAAAAATTTCTCTAAATTATACAGTGACATTTTAAGTTAGCATGGGAGATTACTCCAGTAAAGGACACCTTTTTCAGGACAATCTTCTAGCTGTTGGCTCTCCATTTTAGTCCCATAACACTTTTTCCAGAGGCAATTGTCATGGCTAAAAGATTTTGTTAAAACATACATTACACAGGCATTACAATGACTAAATACAAAGAAAATAATTTATTTCATATTAAAGAATAACATGTTCCCAAAACAAACAGAAAAATATAAATCAAGCATTTCAAGCCAAACACACAATTTTTAATTAACTTACAAAACAAAAGGAGCTCTGGTAGCATTGTGCCTAAGGCATTTGACTGCTAGCCAGAAGACTGGTGGTTCAAACCCACCAGCCACTCCTCGGGAGGAAAGATGGGCAATCTACTTTTGTAGTGATACCACCTCAGAAAACCAAGCAAGGGTTGCTATGAGTCAGGTTCAACTCAAAGGCAGTGAATTTGTTCTTTTGGTTTTTTCTTTTGGTTATAGAATAAAATAATAATAAAAATAAAAAGGGAGAAGGGAGAACATATGCAGGCAGAAGATAAAGTGATATTGACAGAAGAATCTTAATGGAGGTTGCTTCAGGAAAAGAAGCCAAGGAAAATACTGGTGTAAATTTAAAACAGTAAGATTTATGAAATGTTTAAACCACCTCATTGGAGATATGCCAAGAGGTTGACTCTTCATATACTCCAAGAATAAGATTGGATATAGGTCCTGTATACTCTAGTATATGTTACTTTTTGGGCCTAGTAGCGTCAATTCTTTATGTATCTTTTCTAACATATGGAGCCACTCTAAGGGTGGCATCCAAGCTTTTCAGGGAAAGTTATTCAGAGACCTCTGCCAATGTGAAAATCCAGTCACATTCTGCTTTTTCTTAGCTCACATTGTAAGTCTACTGGGGTGAGATCTGCTTTATTTGAAGGTCCCATTCAAGTCTAATATGCTGTTGGCTCCAAAATTTTTACCATTACTTCTCTTCCAAGGTGCACAGCATGCCTCCCAGCAATAATATGCAACTAATTCAAACTAATTGGGGAGAAGATTGGTGTGAATGAATGAAGGCTTTACTTTATAGACCCATCAAATAAAACACAGTGTTTTTGTTTGATGATTTTTTCTTTTTTTTTTAGTTTTTTATTTACTATTGCTTTTATGTTCCAGTAGTAAAATGGACTATCATTTGGTTAGAGATGTTACAAAATGTGTTTTAGTAAATTGATAAGAATTATTTATAATTGGCATCGTTGTTTGTAAATAAATAATGTTTTAGAGTTATTAGAATATTTTATTTTAATAGTTGAAATCTATTCTTAAAATATTATTTACGTTATTTGCTGAACAATTTTTTTCCATCAATAACATAAACTTAAACATACTGAAAAAACTGAAAGTAGACCAATTATTTGTCTTTATGTTTGTCATATATTTACATAAAAAATGGGATTTTAGTGGCATTTAGAATTATCTTGAAGAGCTCTGGTGAATAGTAATTAAATGCTCAGTTGCTAACCAAAAGATCAGTGGTTTGAACCCACCAACCAATCCATGGGAGAAATATGTGGTAGTTTGCTCTGTAAAGATTAAACTCGAAACCAAACTCATTGCCATTGAGTGGATTCTCACTCATAGCAACTGTCATTGAGTTTCAGAGGTGGTAAATCTTTACAGAAGTAGATTGACCCATTGACCTTCCTCAGAGCAGCTGTTGACTTTAAATCACCAAGCTTCTGGTTAGCAGTCAACTACCTTAGGCACTGAGCCATGAGAGCTCCTTCTGTACAGATTATAGCCTTGAAAATGCCGTGGTCCAGTTCTACTCTGTCCTATAAGATCGGTGTGAGTCAGAGTAAACTTTATGGCATTTAGAGAATTTTCATAAATTTATCCAAAGAATTCACAACATGACCACCAATCCCTGTCTTTCATGCACTTTTGTCAATATAATATATTCATAAGATTGGGTAGGGATTCAAAAAGAACACCCCATAGGAATTTTGACTCCTGTATTCCAGGCCCAGCTCCACAAGTAACTAAACGTGAGCATCTAGGTGAAGAATTGAAAGTCTTGGACCTCAAACTTATAACCTATAGAATATGGAGATTACAATAAATGCACAGTGTGTTTTATAGTAATTTACCTAAATACTTATTGTCAAAATCATTTAAGATGACTTTTTGACTCAACAGCAACTAACAACAAAGAACCTCTAAGGCTCCTCCAGTGAAAGATTCTATGATTCTTTCATTACATTATGGATTTAGGAAATGGAAGTGGAAGAATTATTGTGTCACCAACAACTGGCTAATACAACAGAGATGTGAGTTTCCCTCTTATGATACTCAACTAGTTTTTTGGTCATGAAGAATGTACTTTCAGTTCCACACAATTGCATTGCCAGTGTATACACACAATATAAATAATACACCCATTCCTCACATATTTACATGGTTAGTTTACAAAAACAAGGATATTATGCAAAAAACAGAACTATACAAACATGAAGGATGACCACCACATCATTACATACTGCATAATTACATCACTGCCAAACCACTGAGACTCATGCTTCAACCAAGTTGACACATAACCTTAGCCATCACAACCAGTGTAACTTTCACTTTCACCTCTGCATTTGTTATTGCCAGATACACAAAATAGTTAGATAGTAGACTTCTTTCCATGGTCATAAATGTGAAATATCAAATAATGAGATAGTCAATAAATGAGGGATAGATGTATATCTAACTATGTTGAGGAGCTAGGCAGATTCCCTGAACAGAGGGAAATTAAGGAGGGTAAGAATCTAAGCATTGCATTTTATTTATTTATTTTTTCATCTTTTATATAATTTTATCCTTAAAACGTCTCTTTGTGGTAGGTACCAATAAAGCATACACAAATGATGACTTCTGGAGAGGTAAAGGAACAGAGCATGGAAGGTTTGAGAGATATCTATGGGTGTGTGTTTCTGACCTGACTGAGGTCTGTGGGTGCCCCAAAACTCAAAACAGGGGAAGTGAGAGAGCCTCTGTACCTTTTTTGCAAAAGGGCCCTTCATACGGTGAGTTGGTACAATCACAGAAGTAGCCACTGTGCTTTTCCACACATTTGCCCCCATTGTGACAAGTGCTACCATAACTGCTGCAATGGCCAGGGCATCCCAGACGGACTCCAGATGTGACTCTTGCCCTCTCCTCAAGGTCCAGTTTCTGCCCATTCAGACTTAGGGAGCGAATGCATCCTAGAAAGCCTTTCTGTCTTGACGATGTTCCTCCTAAGAGATGGAAAATAAAGGAGAAGAATGTAAGGTTTCATAAGAATGAATTATTTCAGGTTTACTGAAGGCTGCTGTAACAGTTAATTACTATTCAGTTGTCATACTGTGTTTAACTTTTCAGTAGGAGCTTGGAATAAAAAAAGCCTGAAAAAAAAAATGCATGTTTGTTCAGGCTAGAACACCAGTCTCTTCACACAAGAAACAAAACAAACAAACAAAAACCCGAGAAGCTAAAATTCTTGTGAAATCCTGTACTACACATGTTTAAGAGAGAAAAATCATTTAGATATTTTTTCCTTTGAAATAAAATGTATTCTTTCAGAGTCTACAACTGTTGTCTAAAGCAGAAGGAACTAACAGCTGCCTCGTTTATTCTGTATGTTTATTGCAAGAATTAGTTAAGACATGGAAAACAGTGCATGCTCAATGTGATGCTTAATTTTATGTGCAAACTGTGCAAGGCCATTTTCCCAATGGTTTGGCCAAATGTAATATAATCAATCAGTTGAAAAGAGAGTTTCATCAGGGTGTGTTCTATCTCCAGATTATAAATAGATATTGTGACAGAATTCTCCATTCTGTAGTTGTTTTGGTTATTTTGTGCCACTGTAACAAATAATAACACAGGTGAATGGTTTTAACAAATAGGAGATTATTCACTCACAGTTTGGGAGGCTAGAAGTCCCAGTTAAAGTGTCAAGCTCTGGGGGCTGGGTGAAAGACCCTTGACCTTGGGCTTCAACTGTACCTCCTGTTCCCAGTCCACTGGAACTAGAGTGTCTCTTCACTCAGGCAGTTGCTGGCTGCTGAGGCTAACAAGCACAAGGTTGTCAAACAAAAGTGGCACAGTACCAATATTACCCAACAACATGGCAAGCCACTAATTCAAATCCAGAAACAGTCCTCAAATCAGCAGTAAACATGGTAGGCTGCTAAATAGAGACTCAGGTACATGAGAGCCCAAGTGTGCCAAAAAGCTGCAGACCTTTCTGAATGATTCTCCATATCCCTAATGCAGCTACTCAACAGCTTGTGGCAGATTCCATGAAAGAGTTGCCTGCCAATCTCATCATGTACTGCCCATACACTCAAAACCAGGCCCAGCCAAGTTGACATATAACCTTAACTCCCATAGCAATCCACCCCTCATCTGTCAGTTTGTCATATTGTGGTGGCTTTTGTGTTGCTGTGACTCTGGAGGCTATGCCACTGGTATTGAAAATACCAGCAAGGGGTGAAATAAATCAATCACAGAAAGACAAATATAGTATTAGTTCATTATTGTAAGAGGTCAAGTTATATATGGAAGCCAACTTTCCTTGCTGGTTACCAGGTTTACTCTGTAAATCTTCACCCAAATCAAAAAAAAAAAAAAAAAAAAGCATTGACCCATGTCACTTTAGCTTTGTGTGTCTTTCACTGTACATAAATTATATTTCAATAAACTGTATTTTTTTAAGTTGCAAATGGGAATAAAATAAAATAAAATACCAGCAGGGTCACCCATGGTTGACAGGTTTTAGAGGACCTTCCAGACTAAGACAGACTCAGAAGAAGAAAGGGGCAATCCACTTCTCAAAGAATTGCCTAGTAAAAACTTTATGAATAGCAGTGAAACACTGTCTGATATATTACTGGAAAAATTTATAAATATCCCTGAAACCTTGTTTGATATAGTGCCAGAAGAGGAGTCCCTCAAGTCAGAAGACATTCAAAATAAGAATGGGGATAAGCTGCCTCGTCAGAATAAAGTCATCCTTTAAGATATGGATGGAGTAAAGCTTTTGGGACCTCCATTTGCTGTTGAGGCATGACTCAAAATAAGAAGAAATAGCTGTAAACATGCATTAATAATTGGAACATAGAATGTATGAAGTATGAATCTACGAAAATTGGGAGCTGTCAAAAAATGAAATGGAACACATAAAGATCAATATTCTAGGCATTACTGAGTTAAAATGGACTGGTTTTGGCCATTTTAAATCAGACAATCACATGATCTACTATGCCAGCAATGACAAATTGAAGAGGAATGGCATGGCACTCATTGTCACAAAAAATGTTGAAACATTATCATGTATTATCAAAAATATCATTAATGTCACAGGCAAGTAAAGTCTTGCTGAAGATATTTCAAAAATAATTGCAGCGTATATTGAGACAGAACTTCCAGATATGCAAGCTGGATTCAGAAGGGGATGTGGAATGATCCATCTGACATCAGCAATGTCAGATGGATCTTGGCTGAAATCAAAGAATACCAGAAAGATGTTTACTTGTATTTCATTGACTATGCAAAAGCATTCAATTGTATGGATCATAACAAATTATGGACGGCATTGAGAAACATGGGATCTACCCTGAAGTACAATGATGTCAGTGATAGGATAATATCCATATGCCTACAAAGAAGACCAGTTAATACTATCATTATTTAAATTTATGCACCAACCACCAAAGCCAAAGACTAGGAGATTGAAGATTTTTACCAACTTCTGCAGTCTGAAATTGACCAAATACGCAATAATGTGTTGATTGTCACTGGTGATTGGACGGCAAAAGTGGGAAACAAGGAAGAATAATGGGTAGTTGGAAAATATGCCCTTGGTGATAGAAATGAAGCTGGAGATTGTATGATAGGATTGTGCAAGAACAGTGATTCATTCATTGAAAATGCCTTTTTCAACAACATAAATGCTGGCTTTACTCATGGACTTCACCAGATGGAGTACACAGGAATAAGATAGACTACATCTGAGCAAAGAAGTGATGGAGACACTCAATATCTTCAGCCAAAACAAGGCCAGGAGCTGACTGTGAAAGAGTTCATCAACTATTCATTTTAAATTTCAAATTGAAGCTAAAGACAATTAAAACAAGTCCACAAGAGCCAAACTATGACCTTGATTATATCACTCTTAAATTCAGAGACCTTGTAAAGAATAGATTTGACACATTGAACACCAGTGCCCAAAACCAGAGGAATTGTGGGATGACACCAAGAACATCATCCACAAGAAAGCAAAAGGTCATCAAAAAGACAGGAAAGGAAGAAAAGACCAAAATGGATGTCAGAAGAGACTCTGAAACTTGCCTTTGAACAGAGAGTAGCTAAAGCAAATGGAAGAAATGACAAGATAAAAGAGATGAACAGATTTCAAAGAGCAGCTTGAGAAGACAAAGCCAATTATTGTAATGAAATATGCAAAGATCTTGAGTTAGAAAACCAAAAGCAAAGAGATGCTCAGCATTTCTCAAGCTGAAAGAACTGAGGAAAGAATTCATGCCTCGATATATATAAGAGTCTATGAATGGTAAAGGAAACATCAAAAGAAGAGGGAAGAAATAAACAAAGTCATTATACCAAAAAGAATTGGTTGATATTCATCCATTTCAGGAGAAGGCATATGATCAAGAACCAATGATACTGAAGGAAGAAGTTGAAGCTACATCGAAGGAATTGGCAAAAAAAACAAGGCTCCAAAAATTGACAGAATACCAATTGAGATGTTTCAACAAATGGATGCTATGCTGGAGGCATTTGCTTGTCTATGCCAAGAGATTTGGAAGAGAGCTACCTGGACAATTGACTAGAAGAGATCCATATTTGTACCCATGCCAAAGGAAGGTGATCCCACAGAATGGGGAAATTATCGAACATTATCATTAATATTGCATGCAAGTAAAGTCTTGCTGAAGATATTTCAAAAATGGTTGCAGCAGTATATTGAGAGAAAACTTCCAGAAACACAAGCTGGATTCAGAAAAGGATGTGGAATGAGGAAGGGATATCATTGTGGATGTCATATGGATCTTGCCTGAAAGCAAAGAATATCAGAAAGATGTTTACTTTTGTTGCATTGACTCTGCAAAAGCAATCAATTGTATTGATCATAACAAATTATGAAGAGCACTGAGAATTGGAATTCCAGTACACTTAATTGTGCTCATTAGGAATCTGTATATAGACCAGGAGGCTGTCATTCTAACAGAATAAGGGGATACTGCTTCAGAAACCCAAGGAGGGGTCGCTATGAGTCAGGTCTGACTCAACGGCACATAACAACAACAACAACAATATGGTTTAAAAAAAGAAAGTGAGTTCGTCCATTTTGTACCATTACACCATATGTATTCAATCTATATGCTGAGGAAATAATCCTAGAAGCTGACCTATATGAAGAAGAGTTTTCCATCAGGATTGGAAGAAGACTCATTAATAACCTGTGATATGCAGATGACACAACTTCACTTGCTGAAAATGATGATGAATAAAAGCACTTACAGATGAAGACTGAAGACTGAAGACTACAGTCTGCAGTATGGATTACATTTCAATATAAAGAAAAGAAAAATCCTCACAAGTGGACCAATAAGCAACATCAAAATAAATGGAGAAAAATGTCATATGTCAAAGATTTCATATTACTTGGTTCCACAATCAACAC